AGACAGATACAGCCTCATAGTTAGAGCATAAAGAAATACTAATGTCACTATTTGCATATTTTTAGCACAATTTTTTTTAGCAAAATGTGGAAAATCTCAAAAGCGAGAGCCAATTTTGAAAAAACAATGTAATTTTCGGATTCAGCGACATCAGAAATATCCTAAAGCTGTTGAAACCTCCTTGGCACCAAACTGTGCACTGACCAGCGTAATCCATACTGCTCAAAGACAATTTAGTCAACAATGAATCTGATGGACGTTTTGAAACCATCAAAGACGGTTTCATCTCCACTGAACTAATCAAACCATGTTTTGAAAACATATAGTAGCAATTTAGAGACATAAAATACACGATTTTGAAAATCTTAACGGCAATTTCGTCAGCAATGAAGATAGCATACCTGTTTTATGAACATCAAAGACACTTTTTGTCCTCAACTAACCTGAAATACATGTTTTTGAAAACAATGAGGTACTTTAGCTGTTTTTTTGGGTGAACATCAAGACAGTATTGTCGTGAGTAAACGCACACGCATGTTTTTGTCATCCAAGGACACCCAACATGTTTTTTGTCAACAATTGAGACAATATTGAGAACCACATAAATGAACCTAACATACATGTTTTTGGAAACATCAGATGGCGGTTGAGGTTTTGCCAAGCTGCTTTATAAATAAAAAGTCAAATGGAAGCATGAGGAGGAAGCTGCGCAGAGTGGAAGAGATTAGAAGCGAGTGACCTGTATGCGCTGTCACTCTTCCAGTGTTTCCAGGCCTGATGGAGCGAGACAGTCGCATCACATCACCGACACTCCTCTCCAGCTTGTCCATTTGCATTAGCCTTTGCGACTGGCTCCACTCACGCTACGCAAAAGACATCATTGACACACGCACACACACACACACACACACACACACACACACACACACACACACACACACACACAAAGTGGCCATACTCACCTCTCCATCAGCAGAACAGACGCGGTGAAAATATCCTGTTTGTGTTTTCTTGTTGTGCTGCTAACACGGCATGCAGTTTTACTTACAGGCACGCCGCCAGCTGCTCCACGTGATAAAACCTCACTGCTGTTGCTGATATGTGAATAAACAGCTTGGCACCTGGGAGGCAGCGACTTGTTAATTTGTGCCAGGTAACCATTTTTCAGGGGCAATCATTCCTTTTTTTCACGAAGGTAAAATGAGAACATTATGGTCACTTAATTTTTCAGCAATTTTAGGAATACAGTCAGATTTTTTAAAATAAAGTATTGTTTTCTTCATAAATCTGTTGCTTTTTATGTGTTTAAACTTTTTTTAAACACATAAAAAGCTCAAATTGTAGGGAGATGCTGCTCCCTGTTGGTCAATACAAAGATCTACAGTATATGGTCTGATGCACAGACCAGAGTGCAATTCTCATTTGTTTGTTTTTTTTCCACAGAATAAATAACTATGTAGTGTTATTGGCATGACTTAGGTTTACAATTAAGAATATGTTGTTTATTAAGGGTGGTGTTTGTAATATTCAATACATCTCATATATCAGTCATGATTTAGTACTAAAACACCTTAGCTTAGTATCTTGCAGTGTAATTCTAAATAATTCTTCAAGTCACAACGTAAAATTACCAGAAAATCAATATAATAAAATTATTAAACATACAATGAGTATTTTTTAGTCTCCTTTCTCCACCTTCTTCTCCTCCTCCTCCTATCACTCTTGCTGCTTCACCTCCATTTCTTCCTTCGCTTCGTCCAATTCCCACTCTTCCAAATTAAACATACAATGACAACACATAAAGCCCATCCATCCATCCACCCAATTTCTGATCCGCTTATCCTCCCATGGGGCAGGACATGCTGGAGTCTATCCCATATATTTCATTTAAAAACAATAAAAATGTATGATATTTTTTCACTATTTTGATACAGCTGTTAAGTAGGATGCCACTAATACATCCCCCTGCACAATGCACCGCAGTTCTAAAAAAGTGTTTTTTTCTTTTTTCCTGATGCATTAACTACTCGCTATTTTTGCAAAACTATTCACACAAATAAGAAAACCTTTTGACAAATTGGCACAACACAAAAAAAAACCTCGGTCTACATCGTGTCATCACTTTGGGTCATTCCATGGTTGATTACGTGTTTCACTATTGTCGCTCTGATGTTATCAGTAATTCTACATTTTAGTCTCCTTTCTCCACCTTCTTATCCTCCTCCTATCACTCTTGCTTCTTCACCTCCACTTCTTCCTTCGCTTCGTCCAATTCCCACTCTTCCAATCGTTTTCTGGTGTGACAGTGTGGCCAGACAGTTGGGAGAATACAGTAGTGTAAATAATAGCCATACAGGAGTATCATTTTGCGAGGAGTGTTTGGAAATTGAGTGTAAAGCAGTGAGTTGTTTGCTATAAAATTGCAAACTCAGAACAAAGCAGTGTTTGTGCTTTTAGTTTTGCAAGGCCTGTGAGATAATAATAGTTTTAGAAATTGTGCTGCAAGAATCACTTTACCTCCTATCCACACGGGGCACTATTTTACTAGATGCACTGACTACTAAAGCCCAGCACAAAACAAAGACGAAGAAGAAGTGAATGCACTGGATGAGAACTTACCAGAGGAGGGCTGTGATTTTTTTTCCTCCCACTTCATACCATCCCGTTTTAAGGAGGGATCGTGCTTTTCATTTTATGTTATTTTTGAACTGAGAACACTTGGTTGGCCGTGTGAACCTTAAACATCGATTCAGCCGAAGAAGGAAGCGACCAATACAACGGGGAAAAAAGGAGCTGCCATAGCAGCTAGCGCCAGGTTGCGGAAAGTAAGTGTTGGCCTAATGCACAGATAAAGATAACACGGTACGATAAATAAAACTGGGATCATTCAAGTGAACCAATAATGCGTTGCGTCAATGTGATGTATAGCTTGAGCGAGCCTGAACAAGGAGTAGCTAAGCTAGTGGGGTTTTTTAAGCAGGCGTTGGTCAAAATATGCTAATGAATATGACTCCTTCCGGTCAGTTACTCTTGGAAATACATTGAGGCCGATGTTTACACGTGTTTAAAATATTGTACATCTATCTTTACACTAATCTAATTAATCTTTAAATGTCAGCTGACGCCCTCTAGTCTGGGATTCGTGTTGTACGAGTGAAAGACATTTATTTTGAAGTCTAGGAGCAATCTTTTCCTTATAATGTTGCGGCTTTCAGCGGATGCATTTCTTCTGTAAATTCGGCTAAAACTGGCCTTCTTTTTCCAACGTTATATCCATTGCGTTTTGAATAACTTTGCGTTAATGTGGTATGGCAAACGGGTTTTGTAACTTCTAAGACTGCTGTGAATTGTTCATATTTTCCCTCCTTAATCAATGTGGCGACGATTCATTCGAATCGGGTACGTCATAGTGTGCCCGGATGTTCGGCTTCTGCCTGTAGTTTGGTGTTTATTTTCCTGCTGTTGGCACATCTGCTTGTAAGATATTTACACATACAGGTTCATATTGCAGCATAGCGACCTCGTGGATAGCACCTCTGCCTCGTGGTATTGAGGTTCTGGGTTCCAATCTCAGCTCTGGCCTTCTTGTATTTCTGTTTTCCAGCTTCATCCCACATACCAAAAACATGCATCTTACATTCACTGAAGGCTTTAAGGTGTACATGAGTATGAGTTTGAGTGTGATTGGTCTTTGTGTCCTGCAATTAGCTGGCGACCATTGGAGATGACTCATTGAATCTGCTGTATCCTATCTCCCATCAGCGTCCTGATGGTGTGTTTCTCAAGTTGAAGAAGCCCACCTGTCGCAGTGTGTCTCATCTTCCGAAGCCGACATGTCCATCGCGAACACGCCCACCAGCAACGATGCCTGCCTCAGCATCGTGCACAGCCTTATGTGCCGGATCTACAGTATATGTTCTGATGCACAGACCAGAGTGCAATTCTCATTTATTTGCTTTTTTTGTTTGTTTTTTTTCTACAGAAAAAAAATAACTATTTAGTGTTAATGGCATGACGTAGGTTTACAATTAAGAATATGTTGTTTATTAAGGGTGGTGTTTGTCATATTCAATACTCCTATATCAGTCATGATTAAGTACTAAAAACACCTTAGCTTAGTATCTTGCAGTGTAGTTCTAAATAATTCTTTACACAAGTCACAACGTAAAATTACCAGAAAATCAATATAATAAAATTATTAAACATACAATGACAACACATATAGCCCGTCCATCCATCCACCCATTTTCTGATCCGCTTATCCTCACATGGGGCAGGGCATGCTGGAGACTATCCCATATATTTCATTTAAAAACAATAAAAATGTATTATATTTTTTCACAATTTTGATACAGCTGTTAAGTAGGATGTCACTAATACACCCCCCTGCACAATGCACCGCAGTTCTTAAAAAGTGTTTTTTCTTTTTTCCTGATGCATTAACTATTCGCTATTTTTGCAAAACTATTCACACAAATAAGAAAACCTTTTGCCAAATTGGCACAACACAAAAAAAAAAAACCTCGGTCTACATCGTGTCATCTCTTTCGGTCATTCCATGGTTGATTACGTGTTTCACTATTGTCGCTCTGATGTTATCAGTAATTGTATTTTTTAGTCTCCTTTCTCCACCTTCTTCTCCTCCTCCTCCTATCACTCTTGCTGCTTCACCTCCATTTCTTCCTTCGCTTCGTCCAATTCCCACTCTTCCAATCGTTTTCTGGTGTGACAGTGTGGCCAGACAGTTGGGAGAATACAGTAGTGTAAATAATAGCCATACAGGAGTATCATTTTGCGAGGAGTGTGTTTGGAAATAGTGTAAAGCAGTGAGTTGTTTGCTATAAAATTGCAAACTCAGAACAAAGCAGTGTTTGTGCTTTTAGTTTTGCAAGGCCTGTGAGATAATAGTTTTAGAAATTGTGCTGCAAGAATCACTTTACCTCCTATCCACACGGGGCACTATTTCACTAGATGCACTGACTACTAAAGCCCAGCACAAAACAAAGACGAAGAAGAAGTGAATGCACTGGATGAGAACTTACCAGAGGAGGGCTGTGATTTTTTTTCCTCCCACTTCATACCATCCCGTTTTAAGGAGGGATCGTGCTTTTCATTTTATGTTATTTTTGAACTGAGAACACTTGGTTGGCCGTGTGAACCTTAAACATCGATTCAGCCGAAGAAGGAAGCGACCAATACAACGGGGAAAAAAGGAGCTGCCATAGCAGCTAGCGCCAGGTTGCGGAAAGTAAGTGTTGGCCTAATGCACAGATAAAGATAACACGGTACGATAAATAAAACTGGGATCATTCAAGTGAACCAATAATGCGTTGCGTCAATGTGATGTATAGCTTGAGCGAGCCTGAACAAGGAGTAGCTAAGCTAGTGGGGTTTTTTAAGCAGGCGTTGGTCAAAATATGCTAATGAATATGACTCCTTCCGGTCAGTTACTCTTGGAAATACATTGAGGCCGATGTTTACACGTGTTTAAAATATTGTACATCTATCTTTACACTAATCTAATTAATCTTTAAATGTCAGCTGACGCCCTCTAGTCTGGGATTCGTGTTGTACGAGTGAAAGACATTTATTTTGAAGTCTAGGAGCAATCTTTTCCTTATAATGTTGCGGCTTTCAGCGGATGCATTTCTTCTGTAAATTCGGCTAAAACTGGCCTTCTTTTTCCAACGTTATATCCATTGCGTTTTGAATAACTTTGCGTTAATGTGGTATGGCAAACGGGATTTGTCACCTTTAAGACTGCTGTGAATTGTTCATATTTTCCCTCCTTAATCAATGTGGCGACGATTCATTCGAATCGGGTACGTCATAGTGTGCCCGGATGTTCGGCTTCTGCCTGTAGTTTGGTGTTTATTTTCCTGCTGTTGGCACATCTGCTTGTAAGATATTTACACATACAGGTTCATATTGCAGCATAGCGACCTCGTGGATAGCACCTCTGCCTCGTGGTATTGAGGTTCTGGGTTCCAATCTCAGCTCTGGCCTTCTTGTATTTCTGTTTTCCAGCTTCATCCCACATACCAAAAACATGCATCTTACATTCACTGAAGGCTTTAAGGTGTACATGAGTATGAGTTTGAGTGTGATTGGTCTTTGTGTCCTGCAATTAGCTGGCGACCATTGGAGATGACTCATTGAATCTGCTGTATCCTATCTCCCATCAGCGTCCTGATGGTGTGTTTCTCAAGTTGAAGAAGCCCACCTGTCGCAGTGTGTCTCATCTTCCGAAGCCGACATGTCCATCGCGAACACGCCCACCAGCAACGATGCCTGCCTCAGCATCGTGCACAGCCTTATGTGCCACCGGCAGGGTGGCGAGAGTGAGAGCTTTGCCAAGAGGGCCATTGAGAGCCTGGTGAAGAAACTTAAGGAGAAGAAGGATGAGCTGGACTCGCTCATCACCGCCATCACCACCAACGGCGCCCATCCCAGCAAGTGTGTCACCATCCCTAGAACGCTGGATGGACGACTGCAGGTGGGTTCAATGGACCGCGATGATAAAGTAGCTTCATATGGGTCAAATATCCTCTAAGTGTAATAAAGCACGACAATTTACCCTGTAGACACACAGCAAATTTCATTCAGATTGGATAAGGTTTTAATCTAAAGTGGATAATTCATCTCTTTAAGGTTTGGATACAGAGATAAATCGATACATAGATTGCATTCATATAATTTTTTTTTAAATAACTTTGTCACCTATTAAGATATCTGTGTTTCTAAATCAGACTTAAAAAACTTGACATTTCATTTATTGTGTGTAACATACAATATATTAATTGTGTTATGGACATATTTCACTTTTTTTTTGTATATTTTTTCACAATTTTGATACAGCTGTTAAGTAGGATGTCACTAATACACCCCCCTGCACAATGCACCGCAGTTCTTAAAAAGTGTTTTTTCTTTTTTCCTGATGCATTAACTATTCGCTATTTTTGCAAAACTATTCACACAAATAAGAAAACCTTTTGCCAAATTGGCACAACACAAAAAAAAAAACCTCGGTCTACATCGTGTCATCTCTTTCGGTCATTCCATGGTTGATTACGTGTTTCACTATTGTCGCTCTGATGTTATCAGTAATTGTATTTTTTAGTCTCCTTTCTCCACCTTCTTCTCCTCCTCCTCCTATCACTCTTGCTGCTTCACCTCCATTTCTTCCTTCGCTTCGTCCAATTCCCACTCTTCCAATCGTTTTCTGGTGTGACAGTGTGGCCAGACAGTTGGGAGAATACAGTAGTGTAAATAATAGCCATACAGGAGTATCATTTTGCGAGGAGTGTTTGGAAATTGAGTGTAAAGCAGTGAGTTGTTTGCTATAAAATTGCAAACTCAGAACAAAGCAGTGTTTGTGCTTTTAGTTTTGCAAGGCCTGTGAGATAATAGTTTTAGAAATTGTGCTGCAAGAATCACTTTACCTCCTATCCACACGGGGCACTATTTCACTAGATGCACTGACTACTAAAGCCCAGCACAAAACAAAGACGAAGAAGAAGTGAATGCACTGGATGAGAACTTACCAGAGGAGGGCTGTGATTTTTTTTCCTCCCACTTCATACCATCCCGTTTTAAGGAGGGATCGTGCTTTTCATTTTATGTTATTTTTGAACTGAGAACACTTGGTTGGCCGTGTGAACCTTAAACATCGATTCAGCCGAAGAAGGAAGCGACCAATACAACGGGGAAAAAAGGAGCTGCCATAGCAGCTAGCGCCAGGTTGCGGAAAGTAAGTGTTGGCCTAATGCACAGATAAAGATAACACGGTACGATAAATAAAACTGGGATCATTCAAGTGAACCAATAATGCGTTGCGTCAATGTGATGTATAGCTTGAGCGAGCCTGAACAAGGAGTAGCTAAGCTAGTGGGGTTTTTTAAGCAGGCGTTGGTCAAAATATGCTAATGAATATGACTCCTTCCGGTCAGTTACTCTTGGAAATACATTGAGGCCGATGTTTACACGTGTTTAAAATATTGTACATCTATCTTTACACTAATCTAATTAATCTTTAAATGTCAGCTGACGCCCTCTAGTCTGGGATTCGTGTTGTACGAGTGAAAGACATTTATTTTGAAGTCTAGGAGCAATCTTTTCCTTATAATGTTGCGGCTTTCAGCGGATGCATTTCTTCTGTAAATTCGGCTAAAACTGGCCTTCTTTTTCCAACGTTATATCCATTGCGTTTTGAATAACTTTGCGTTAATGTGGTATGGCAAACGGGTTTTGTAACTTCTAAGACTGCTGTGAATTGTTCATATTTTCCCTCCTTAATCAATGTGGCGACGATTCATTCGAATCGGGTACGTCATAGTGTGCCCGGATGTTCGGCTTCTGCCTGTAGTTTGGTGTTTATTTTCCTGCTGTTGGCACATCTGCTTGTAAGATATTTACACATACAGGTTCATATTGCAGCATAGCGACCTCGTGGATAGCACCTCTGCCTCGTGGTATTGAGGTTCTGGGTTCCAATCTCAGCTCTGGCCTTCTTGTATTTCTGTTTTCCAGCTTCATCCCACATACCAAAAACATGCATCTTACATTCACTGAAGGCTTTAAGGTGTACATGAGTATGAGTTTGAGTGTGATTGGTCTTTGTGTCCTGCAATTAGCTGGCGACCATTGGAGATGACTCATTGAATCTGCTGTATCCTATCTCCCATCAGCGTCCTGATGGTGTGTTTCTCAAGTTGAAGAAGCCCACCTGTCGCAGTGTGTCTCATCTTCCGAAGCCGACATGTCCATCGCGAACACGCCCACCAGCAACGATGCCTGCCTCAGCATCGTGCACAGCCTTATGTGCCACCGGCAGGGGGGCGAGAGTGAGAGCTTTGCCAAGAGGGCCATTGAGAGCCTGGTGAAGAAACTTAAGGAGAAGAAGGATGAGCTGGACTCGCTCATCACCGCCATCACCACCAACGGCGCCCATCCCAGCAAGTGTGTCACCATCCCTAGAACGCTGGATGGACGACTGCAGGTGGGTTCAATGGACCGCGATGATAAAGTAGCTTCATATGGGTCAAATATCCTCTAAGTGTAATAAAGCACGACAATTTACCCTGTAGACACACAGAAAATTTCATTCAGATTGGATCAGGTTTTAATCTAAAGTGGATAATTCATCTCTTTAAGGTTTGGATACAGAGATAAATCGATACATAGATTGCATTCATATAATTTTTTTTTAAATAACTTTGTCACCTATTAAGATATCTGTGTTTCTAAATCAGACTTAAAAAACTTGACATTTCATTTATTGTGTGTAACATACAATATATTAATTGTGTTATGGACATATTTCACTTTTTTTTTGCCTATCAAATCATGTTTTATAAACAGTTGAATTGGATGTTACGACCAAGACTAATTTTTCATTTGTGTTGTGACAATTCTACTTGTAAACACCTGTAGGACTTTCTTGATATAATAGGCTTGTACTTATAAATTGTATGACAATTTGTTGCAGCATTTTCCCCATTATTGTTCTGAATTGTTTTTTTTATGATTGAGTAATTTGGATAATAGAGATTTATTTTTATTTGGGTTAATAAAAATATTAGTTTTTAATGCATCTCAGTAGTTTCTTCATATAATGGACAGACTTTACTAATGTTGAGAGAGATAGATCACACTTGAGCGGAGATGTGGGAGTACTACTTAATTTATCTTTGGAGTGTCTTTTGCAAACACTATTTTCAATCATAAGCGGGTCCTTATGCCAAATTGGCACAACACAAAAAAAAAAACCTCGGTCTACATCGTGTCATCTCTTTCGGTCATTCCATGGTTGATTACGTGTTTCACTATTGTCGCTCTGATGTTATCAGTAATTGTATTTTTTAGTCTCCTTTCTCCACCTTCTTCTCCTCCTCCTCCTATCACTCTTGCTGCTTCACCTCCATTTCTTCCTTCGCTTCGTCCAATTCCCACTCTTCCAATCGTTTTCTGGTGTGACAGTGTGGCCAGACAGTTGGGAGAATACAGTAGTGTAAATAATAGCCATACAGGAGTATCATTTTGCGAGGAGTGTTTGGAAATTGAGTGTAAAGCAGTGAGTTGTTTGCTATAAAATTGCAAACTCAGAACAAAGCAGTGTTTGTGCTTTTAGTTTTGCAAGGCCTGTGAGATAATAGTTTTAGAAATTGTGCTGCAAGAATCACTTTACCTCCTATCCACACGGGGCACTATTTCACTAGATGCACTGACTACTAAAGCCCAGCACAAAACAAAGACGAAGAAGAAGTGAATGCACTGGATGAGAACTTACCAGAGGAGGGCTGTGATTTTTTTTCCTCCCACTTCATACCATCCCGTTTTAAGGAGGGATCGTGCTTTTCATTTTATGTTATTTTTGAACTGAGAACACTTGGTTGGCCGTGTGAACCTTAAACATCGATTCAGCCGAAGAAGGAAGCGACCAACAGGTGGGTTCAATGGACTGCGATGATAAAGTAGCTTCATATGGGTCAAATATCCTCTAAGTGTAATAAAGCACGACAATTTACCCTGTAGACACACAGAAAATTTCATTCAGATTGGATCAGGTTTTAATCTAAAGTGGATAATTCATCTCTTTAAGGTTTGGATACAGAGATAAATCGATACATAGATTGCATTCATATAATTTTTTTTTAAATAACTTTGTCACCTATTAAGATATCTGTGTTTCTAAATCAGACTTAAAAAACTTGACATTTCATTTATTGTGTGTAACATACAATATATTAATTGTGTTATGGACATATTTCACTTTTTTTTTGCCTATCAAATCATGTTTTATAAACAGTTGAATTGGATGTTACGACCAAGACTAATTTTTCATTTGTGTTGTGACAATTCTACTTGTAAACACCTGTAGGACTTTCTTGATATAATAGGCTTGTACTTATAAATTGTATGACAATTTGTTGCAGCATTTTCCCCATTATTGTTCTGAATTGTTTTTTTTATGATTGAGTAATTTGGATAATAGAGGTTTATTTTTATTTGGGTTAATATAAATATTAGTTTTTAATGCATCTCAGTAGTTTCTTCATATAATGGACAGACTTTACTAATGTTGAGAGAGATAGATCACACTTGAGCGGAGATGTGGGAGTACTACTTAATTTATCTTTGGAGTGTCTTTTGCAAACACTATTTTCAATCATAAGCGGGTCCTTATGTGCACTTAGCACAAGCACACTCAAGGCCACAGTTTGATGATCGACTTTGTGGTCGTGTCATCGAATTTGCGGCCACGTGTTTTGGACACTCGGGTGAACAGAGGGGCAGAGCTGTCAACCAATCACCACCTGGTGGTGTGTTGGCTCCGATAGCGGGGGAAGACCCTATTGTGAGGCTTCTTCAAGCCGTGATCTCCAACTCTCACTGGAGCGGTCCGGAGCCGAGTCTGAAGAAGTTGGGATGAAAATTAATACCTCCAAATCTGAGAGCATGGTCCTCAGTTGGAAATGGGTGGGTGCCCTCTCCGAGTCGGGGATGAGATTTTACCCCAAGTGGAGGAGTTCAAGTATCTTGGGGACTTGTTTACGAGTGAGGGCAAGATGGAGCGTGAGATGGACAGGTGGATTGGTGAAGCGTCTGTATCGTCTGTCATGGTGAAGAAGGAGCTTCCTCGATTTCCTGGTCAATCTACCAGAAGTCTAAAAAATTTAAGTCATATCATTTGATTGAAAGAAAGTGATTTTATACTAAACATGAGGCGAAAATAGCATTTATACTTGATTTGGAAGATGTCAATTCAAATGTTATCTGATTATCCCATGAATTATTATTGTTAATATCATTATTTATTTATTTTGCGTGTGCCTCTCCTTCCAGGTGGCTGGACGCAAGGGTTTCCCACATGTGGTCTATGCCAAGCTGTGGCGCTGGCCGGACCTGCACAAGAATGAACTGAAGCATGTCAAATACTGTCAGTATGCGTTCGACCTCAAGGCCGACAGCGTCTGCGTCAATCCCTATCACTACGAGCGGGTGGTCTCACCCGGCATAGGTGAGACTGTTCATATTTTTCAGTATCATCACTTAGTCGGTGCTCTGAGTGACTCATAATTTCTTGCTTCAACTGCCTATTAGACATATCAGGACTGAATCTAACCAGCTCCAGGCCTGGCTCGGCGCTGATGGTCAAAGATGAGCATGATTTTGATGGCCCCCAGAGCCTGCCCGCCATGGATGAGGGCCGTTCAATGCAGACCATCCAGCACCCTCCGTCGGGGGGCCGCCCGGGACCCTCCGACCTATTCGCCCCCACCAACATGCTTCCGCCCGCCGAGGCATCCACTTCTGCCTCCACGTCATCGTTCCCCACTGTCGCCACAGGATCAGCTAGTAAGGCTCTCTTTATCGCTCAAGATACATCTCCTCTTTTGGGGTCCACCTCATCTACCTGTTTAATGTTTCCAACTTTGCATTTGTTCACCAATTTATATTAGTGCCTCAACATCAATCTCCACTGATAAACCATCAATTTCGCTGAATTTATTTAATCAGATTATTTTTGAATGGTTTTTATTTTTGACTGATTCAGCTGCTGTCCATTTCTTTAAATTCACTGTGGTCACTGTTATCATTGTTGATTTTTTTTTTTCACCGTTCAAAATGTTCTCATTATTATTGTTTTAGAATTTTGTTTTTTAATCAAACAGAATAAGATTTCATTTTAACAGGTTCAATAAAGCTACGTCGTGTTGAATAAGAAATGTTTCATAAAATACAGAAGAAATACTTGTGATATGAACAAAATATCTGCTGGGCTCTCTGTTTCCCTCCCAACTTCAGGTGGCAACACCGTCTGGTCAAGGAACAACAGCTTCACCCCCAACACGCCACACCACAGCAACGGTCACCTGCAGCACCACCCTCCCATGCCTCAGCCGGCACATTACTGTGAGTCAGGCAACACGGAAACCGTGCACAGTACGTTTTTTCCAAAGATGGTGATAGTCCATTGCTTGGCTCTCATCCTCAGGGTCAGTCCACGACGAGTTTGCCTTTCAGCCGCCCATTTCCAACCATCCTGGTGAGAACAAAACAATGAATGTAGACTATGACTGTGGTGGCGTTAGTGCCTCAGTTAATAAGTTTAACTGTGTTGCAGCTCCAGACTACTGGTGTTCCATCGCCTACTTCGAGATGGACCTACAGGTGGGCGAGACCTTCAAGGTGCCGTCGTCGTGCCCCGTCGTGACCGTGGACGGCTACGTCGACCCGTCGGGCGGGGACCGCTTCTGTCTAGGCCAACTCAGCAACGTCCATCGCACGGAGGCCATAGAGCGAGCCAGGTAACACCCACTGGCCATCACGCAACCTTGATTAACCGTACAGGTCATATTTGAAGTAACATTAATAGTGTAGTGCTACTTTGACTTGATTCGTTCTCTGACCAAACTCAAATTATTCGCAACTCAAATCAACTCTCCCCATTTAAATAAATGAAACTGTCAAGGAAAATAGCACTCTAAGGTATTGTTCTGTTTGAAAGCGTACAGTTAATAACATAAAAAATTGTTTTAGCTACAATTCAAAGGACTGCTCCTTCTGGTGTGTGCACCCAGGCCACCAGGGGGCAGTGTAATGCCTACTTACATGCATACTGTTGAATACATGTAGATTTGATGATGGAATGTGAAAAAGACTGTCACTACTAAACAGCATTAATCTTAGTCGGGTTTTTTTCACAAAACATAAAGTTTGTGTGCTTCATCTGTATGTGATGCTCAACAGTTTGTGTCCACATAATAGAAAAAGTGGGCATTCCGTCGGTCTGTCACTGTTACACTATTGCATGGACTCCTGTATATGTGCATGGTAAATTGGATCAGGAGTTTGGTCAGGAATGAATGAAGCTGAGAGATCAAGGGTTACCACTGCACAAGTGGAAATGGACAGTTCAGACCATCGAGTAAGTTTGACTCATCTGTCAGGCTTCACATCGGCAAAGGCGTGCAGCTCGAGTGCAAAGGCGAGGGCGACGTGTGGGTGCGCTGCCTCAGCGACCACGCCGTCTTCGTGCAGAGCTATTACTTGGATCGCGAGGCCGGCCGAGCCCCCGGGGATGCCGTCCACAAGATCTACCCCAGCGCTTACATTAAGGTAGACACTTCATAACTGACGCTTTCAATTAAAACGTTTTTTTTTTTTTTTTTTTTAAATAAGCAGGGTGGGGCGATAGCATGGTGTATACACAAACCCGATTCCAATAAACTTGGAATGTTATGTTAAACATGAATAAAAACACAAGACAGTGATTTGCAATGTAGCACAAACTGGATTTACTGATAATGGTTTTCTCAAGGGTTACTGAGCCCATGTGGTGATGTCCTTTCCATATTAAGGTCGGTTTTTGATGCATTGCCGCCTGAGGGATTCTCTCACACAGCTGTTCACAAAGAGGTGAACCTCACCCCATCTTTGATTGTGAATGACTGAGCAAATTGTGAAAGGTCATTCATGGCACCCGCCCATTCTCAGTTAGCCCGTTCACTTGTGAGATGTTCCAAACCGGTGTTTATTTTTTTCCCCTTCTTCCTCACTTACCAAACTGCTGCACATTCAGAAATAGAAGACAGTTCAAATCAATTATGGCGACAACCAAATTTCATTCTGTGCACTTGGTTGCAGGTGGTTTTGACTTCCCCTGAAGCTAGAAACGTGTGATTGGCAACATAACAATCTAAACATCACTGTGCTGTCATCAAGTCGACTAGTGGACTGATCATGACAACCGTTAGTGAGCATGTACCTCTTTTTGTCTAACAATGTTTACATGTTTTGTGCCAGGTGTTCGACTTGCGTCAGTGTCACAGGCAGATGCAGCAACAGGCGGCGACTGCTCAGGCGGCAGCTGCAGCGCAGGCAGCAGCCGTGGCGGGAAACATCCCTGGACCCGGCTCAGTCGGAGGCATCGCACCCGCCATCAGTAAGTCTGGACCCAAGTATCTGTTAAAAACTCAATTTAACGATCCATTTCAAACGCATACTAAAAACATAGCTTTTTTTATTTTTTTTTAATGCAGAAATAATTTCAGGTGTTTTTTTTTTTGCATGTTTGCATGCATTTATTTATATCAATGCTGATGCCAACTCAAATCAAATGTTCTGTGAAGACAAGCCACCAAATAAATACATTCAGATGCCGGCCGTGGGACAGCTCTACGCTCTTAGCAACGTCCTCGAGGGTACATGGGTGCTCGCCCAACCAGTCTCCATGTTCTTTGTGGGCTTGGAGAAGGCGTTCGACCGTGTCCCTCGGGGAGTTCTCTGGAGGGGGATTCGGGAGTATGGGGTACTGAACCCTCTCATACCGTCTGTTCGGTCCCTATATCATCAATGTCAGAGTTTGATTCACATTGCTGGCAGTAAGTCGGGCTTCCGGACATGTCCAACCGGCAGGGACGACCCAGGACACCTAAGTACGGTTTTAAAGTGGAAACCAATCTGAATAACTCATGTCTTTCTGCAGTTTCTGGGAAGGTTTTTATTTGAGAAAGTCTCCAGTCGAGTAACTCAGGCTACAATAAATCCTGGGAGATTTATAGTTTAGAGATTTATATGGCAATGAGTAATTCTTCTGGCTACTCGTTTTTACAGTTATTTATTGATTTATATCTTTTTTATTCCAAGGATGATAAATAACTAATTTACTCTTACTTGCAGATCCACTGGCACCTATGCTAAATCACGACTTAACTGTACAATATTTTCTGAAGCTCACATACTGCGTTGATGCTTTGGCGAGACGAGAGGCCTCCATTCATGGGAGTGGCCATTTTAGAAAGGGGAGCTGGCCCGGCACTGCACTGATGAGTCAGGAAAATTGCTGAGTACAATAATGAACTGCCCGCTATACGCCCTTCCCCACTTCATTGCTGCATTTTACATAAAAAGCTGCGCGGTTAGCCTCCCTCAATTCCCAATGGCTCAATTGTGGCGCACATTTGCCCGCAGGTCTGTCGGCGGCAGCCGGCATCGGTGTGGACGACCTCCGCCGCCTGTGCATCCTGCGTATGAGCTTTGTGAAGGGCTGGGGGCCGGACTACCCTCGGCAGAGCATCAAAGAGACGCCATGCTGGATCGAGATCCACCTGCACCGCGCCCTGCAGCTGCTGGACGAGGTGCTGCACACCATGCCCATCGCTGACCCCCAGCCACTCGACTGAACTCCTCACAACCGAGGGACTCATTTTGCTTGTTGGTGTTCTCGTCGTTCTCGTCAGGTGGGTTTTGACGGTGCTGTAGTGTGAACCCAAAATGACATATTTCATCTGAAAGGACAAACAGGATCGGTCAGACTGCTGGACTAGACCAGAGTGCTGTGTTTTCCACATGATGAACATTTGTGACCCCCCCCCCCCTTGTTTTTACCAGCCACTTCATTAGGTACACATGCATAAATAGCTAATATCGTTTAAAGATATTTTCACAAGTATTGGGGAGTATTAGGGCCACATTGTAAAGAGAAGAAAAACATTTATTTTACAAAAGGTGGATATTCCCCTCCCAAGATGTTTGTCCAAGTATGACGTGATTTTTATTAAGTCGCTAAAGTAATATGAGGATAAAGTTTGACTTTTAATGGAACAAAGACGCAACTTTAGATCCTCTAAACTTTATCCCGATGAAACGCGTCAGCAGTAGAGAAAGACGGGTTAACACTGAAAAGGAAAAAAAACAAAGTACTGTATTCTACAGGAATAAAGTTGAATTTATTGCCCAAGAAATAAAGCAGCAATATGTAAATTTTACAAGAGGAATAAAATCAGATTTTTTTTTTTTTTTTAAAGGAAGGAAAATTGTATCTTCATGGGGACAAAATGGGACTATTGAGAGAAAAATGTTTGTATTTTATGTGGAAAAAGATGTATTTTAGAGAGTAGTTTGAATTTTATCGGGAAAGCATGATGAAAAAAACGAACTGGTACTATGACAATGTTTTAATTTTCAGAGAATAAAGTGGAAATATTACAAAATGAATGGGGTGACATGACAAGAAGTGAACATTTTACTCAGTCATTTTGGAAAAAAAGTGAGATTTACAAGAAAAAAAAATGTTATGAAAATATCAGACTTTCGATGAATCAATAGTTAAAAGTATTCTGACAATTACAGGTAGGTGACTGTTTAAAATGTAAAGCCAGAAAGTTTAATATCTCATGAGATTGTGTGTTACCTAATGTTGTGGCCAGTGACGAATCCTCTTGTATATTATCGGTTCACAAAATACCAGCTGTAAATCTACATTTCCCGGCAGTTCTGGTACACTATGTTGATTTTTTTTTTTCCTCAACTTTTTATCAAATGATTTTTTTTTTTTTTTTTTTTTTTGGTTTTAGCACTTTACTTTGACTTGGCTGTGTATTTGTATTGGAACACTAAGGATGCCATTTTGTTTCCCACCTTTTCACCCACATAACACCTGATGTTTCTGTTGCGGCTCGTCGGACGTGTTATTTTTTTTTTAAATCGGGTGTATGTAAATAGAAATATGTATCATCTTTGTAGTGCATGCTGATGTCAGTGGTCCCGCATTTAAACTCACTCACGTTACATGAATAAATAAAATCAATGATACAATCAAGAGACTCAATGTGGCTTTAAATGAAACCGTCTTTATTAAGTAACTTTAATATCAGAAAAATAAAACTCTTAAAATTCTCTTTACAGCAAATATATATATAATAATATCAGTGCTTTGGCCGCAATAACTTAAAAGGCCCGTTTATAAAATATAGTCCTACTTTTTTTAAACTCCTTACTCCACCCCATTTTGAATTGAGATTTTTATATATATATGCCATAAGACTTGCCCCCTACATATACATAAAGTAGTAAAATTAGCACAAAAAACGGCTACTAAAAAAATGTACACTTTCTTAAACACGCATTAGCAGGCAGCTCATATCTTCAACGGTTTAATTGTACTTTATTACATTTCTTTTTAATTAAACGCAGACATGCTTGTGCACACACATTCCATATTTCCAGTGGCGGCGTTCCGACAAATCTAACTACGAAGCGGAGAAAGCATTGCAAATTCATTTATCGCCCGCGCAAAGAAAAGGTAGAAAAATTTAAATCTTATTGTAAACATTGGAATATAGATACTTTGTCAAGATACATATATATTTAGAATATGAAATGTAACAAAATAAAAATTAACTTCTGTATATCTCAGTCCTTAATATAATACAATAAACTGAGGGTTGACCGTGTATATTGCATTCACCCTCATCGAAATAACACAACAAAAAAAAGGACGGATAAAGATTGGAGGGGAGAGAACCTGGAGGTTTATTTTGTGCGGCTTAGTTATGATGCGAAAACTCAAAAGCCGAGCCCCTCCAAAAAAACAAAAAACAAAACGGAAGCGAAATCATTAATTTAGTTGTGTAGTGTCTACATTCCAGGCACTTTCCCCTCATAAACGTCCGACAACAGTCCCATGCGTCAAAAAAACAAAAACAAAAAAAGAGATGATTTTGGGGGTGTAAGGAATGGATAAACATCGTCCCCCCGCCCCTGAGTCCCAATGAAAAAGTACCATCAAATCCCTCGTTTTATTTCCTCGCCCTGGTTTTCCCAACCCAAGCGGACTCTTGCATAGGCCTGGTGGCAGAACGAGGAAATTGGTCGTACGATTAATTTTAAAAATAAAATCTCAACACTGGAGAACATTCGAGGAGTTGTTCCTACATTTACAGCAGTTTTTGTAAAAGGAATGTTAATACTAAGTATGCACAAAAAAAGATGTGGAAGCAAAAAAAAAAGTGTTAAGACTTTAAACCTGATGTGTACATTACATCAGTCTAAAAAAAAAAAAAAGGCCACGCTTTAGGTTGTTTTTGAAGCAATCAGATTTTTCTTTCGGAACTTAATTTCAGGCACGAGTTTTAACTGTAAACGACTTTGATCCTGGCGTAGTGACTCCCAGCAACCTGGGAACTAATTAAAAAAAAAAAAATAGCACCGCTAAGGTAACGAGTTGACGCCCAGTGGAGTGTCAAGAAAGAAAAGGCGGGTTTTCATGCCGCTTCAGTATATGATGTGTGAATGTATAATACGACTGGTTAATACGATAAGGTCGGGAGTCCTGCCGTTTGTAAACATGCTCACTTGCACCCCCCTGCGGAGGGTGACGGTCATGAGAGTCGGCTGCAAATTCCGCCCCCTCCAAAAAAAACAAACAAAAAAAAAAAACAATAAAAAAAAAAATCAAAGGTGGCTAAAACGTTTGAAACATTTTCTGGTCGCTACATTTGAAGACTTGGCCGTTCGCCAGTCACATGTTGCGAAGCCGGAGGGCCCGTGTGACGGGCGACAGGCACACGGGGCAGGTGGCATCGGGACACTGGCAGATTTGGGCGGCGCATTTGGCGCAAAAGAGGTTGTGGCCGCAGGGGACCAGGGCGGCCACAGCCCGGCCGTCCAGGCAGCGAATGCACACATCAGGGCCCGGGCGGCGGCCCTGACCCGCTGAAGCCCCCGCCACATAGGCCAGGGAGGGCTCGGGCGGCGATGAGGACGAGCTGTCGCCAGAGGAGGAAGAGAAGGCCGAGCAGTAGGAGGGCGGGCGGTGGCCACCGCCGAAGGGAGCGCGGAGCATGTGCAGCGCCTGGGGATGCTCCAGGGCGTCGGCCCCGGGGAAGGTGGGGGAGAGGCGGGGCGTCCCGGGCTGACTCGTCTGGAAAGGTCAATGACAACAACACAAGGTAAAACAAAAACATCCTTCCTTCCTTCTACACGACCCGATTTCAAGCCTCAATTTCGGTTTTCAAGGTTCAGTGTTTCAAGTCTGGGCAATGGTTTGAAATGGCGGTCATGGTTAAGGCTCCAAACCTTGGTTTTGATTTTTAAATTGAGAATTCAAGCCTCAGTTTGTTTCAGATTAAGGTTGTAAACAAGGCTTATCGTTTCAAACCAAGGTGAAGGTTCTAAATAAGTATCAGGGGTTCAAATTTGGCTTTCATGCCATAATTAGGGTTTCACATGGTTACCTCGACAGGAAGTGAACAAGGACAAAAACTACGGAGAAAGTGTTTGGACAGGGTTGAGGTCAGGGCTCTGTGGTGCTCTCACTCTAAATTCATCCAAGCTTTAATTCAACCACCACCAACCTGTGCGGGCCGTCCGTCCAAGGCCTGAAGACTTTGGTGGTCCACAAAGGGGCTCCAGTTGTGCAGCGGCGCACCGCCTGTGGAGACTGTAAGGGGTTCGAATCCCGATGAACAGCTCCCGCCCGCCGCCGCGTTGGGCTCAGAGTCTCCGAACCAGAAGCTGGTGGCCCCTGGGTTGTCGTCGTTGCTGCTGTTATTGTTGTTGTTGGAATTCGCGTTGAATGAGCAAGTGGGACTGAAGTCAGCCATGCGGTTGGCGGCGCCGCCGCTTCCTCCATAGAAGGAGTCGGTGGAGCTGGAGCCGCTGCCCAGGGAGCTGGAACTGTCGTTGCGATAGGTGGAAGAGATGCGACCACCGCCGGCCGCATTAGCCCGCTGGTTGCCTCCGCCGCTCAGGTTCGCCTGGAGGAGGCCGCCCGCGAGGAACCACCCGGCTTCGCCGTTGTTGTCGAAGCTGACGTCCGTGCCGTTGAATTGGAAGTCGTTGTTGTCCGCGCCGGGTGCCTCTACGCCACCCCCGCAGTTGCCCGTGCGCAGGGCGATGTGCGCCTCAATCTCCTCGCGGGCACGGTCGACATTCTCCGGCATCCCCGTCACCTCAAACACGGGCTCCTTGTCGCGACTCGGCGTTACGATGTAGGTGTGCGTCTGCTGCTGGATGCGCTTGATGGTCGCCCCTGGAACACAAGTCACTTTTAATTACACTGGTTCTTGCAAGTGACCCGATTTACATGACTAGCTGCCGCTCGGTTTATGTGCTATGATCAATGGGGACAAGGTGAACGGCTTTGAGCAAACTGCTCTTGAGAGCAGGGCCTGTTTCAAACGGTCACCATCATAAACATCACATTCAATACAATGACAAGTCTTACTGCAGTTTACTAATAATAGAAACTTGTAAATACGTACCTTTTGGACCCACAACCAGTCCGACGACACGGTATGGCACCCGCACCTGCAGGAAAATAACAGTTTTTTTTTCATCTATTTAATTCCAGAGACACCGCAGAGCAATTCATGTTCTTCCACTACACGGCAGAAGCTACAAATAGCCTTAAACAACTGCACCTTCGATTCTGAGGTTGCGTACAACCAAAGCATGCCCAGATCTGACACTGAGTAGCTCAACGTAAAAGGAAATTCAGAAATCATGACTTCAGTCATCCCCTAAATATATATAAATGACTAATTCTTAAGTGAAGATCCACTGGCACCTAAGTGTGTGCGTGATAGCGTAAATAAGGGTCTCAAAACGGCTGGTCGCGAACGAGTTAATGGCATTTCAACTGGTGTAAACTGAATGTAGTTTTTGTCAAATTTGTTTGGTGGTGTGTTGTGAGATTTTTTTTCTATGTGTGTACTCTGGCTCATTCAAGGTTGGAAAACACTGCTGGAATGAGATTCAAAACAAGAAGGATGCACTATCGTCCACTACCTGAATGGTGGTCTGTCCGGGCAAAGTGGGGATCCCCGGCCCGGACGCCACAGACAGAGAGCCCGCTTTGTTCCGGGATGCCCGGATGAGGGAGAAGTGCTCGGCGGCTGACAAAATCTCCCGCTTGGCCATGCATACGTCTTCCTTGCGTCCAGTCACAACGAAAACCGGCTGCTCGCCCCTCACCGGCGTCTTGATGTACGTGTTGGTCTTGGCTCGGAGTGCTTTAATCTTACAACCTGGGTGAGAGAAATTTTAGGGCTTGATTAGTGGTAATTAAATGTTCAAGAGTGAAGAAAAATGTGTCTGTCGGTTGCATATGTTCATTCAGTAAACACGGAAATGGCCATACATTGGTTACAGATGTTGCAAATATGGTTTTAAAATTATTAATTATAATTTCGACTCGAGGCAGAAATTTTTGCTGACTTAAGCTGGTTAGCTTCCCCCCCAGCCCTTCATTTAATATTTTAAAACAGTTTGGTTTCAAACACTTTTTTTATGTAACTGTACAACATTTTAATTGAAACATCCTCAGAACAGTTTTCATTTCAACATGTTTTATTGCAGCGCTGATCTTGGTTGACTACACTACTGTACTTCGTGTTAAATCTTTGAGAACCTCTAGGTTTGAGTGATACAGTCGCTCCTATGATTTTTCCATGATGTTAATAAGTCATAGTTGACTTGCAAGTTAAAGCTCTCAAACACTAATGCCATTTCGAGTGGATTAAATATTCCTCTCAAGCTGTGGTTTGAGTCCAGCCATTTCCTGTTGTTGTGTTAACACAGTGTGCACCCTCCCCCATCAGCAGGCACACCAACACAGCCCTTTAATCAAATGCAAAAAACCCACCACAAAACTCACCAAAAGACAGACATAGAAGCAAGCTATATGGTCAAGAATACGTGTGTTCTATGTTGAATTGAACGTGGGAAATAATAGATCTGCCCAAGCAGAACTACAATGAAAAACTACACATGGGGCTGATGTGGCAGAGCAACTTGCGGTCTTCGAAGACAAAAGAAAACACACAATATATCGATAAAAACATCGAGAAAAGACACGCGAGAGCAGGGAAAGAAATAGACGACTCGAGTGGGAGTGTCTGGTGGTTCATTAACAACTTTCTTTGAAAGCTTTTCAGTCGATGTTGGTTCCGAGTCGGGCGGCGCTGGATTGACCCATTTTAGAGCCAAGCTAACTAGGCTAGCCGCAGTCCAGCAAGCATCAACGTCAAAAAAAACAGCAGAAAACAAAATGTGTCAAGTCTGGGAAGTATGTCATAGGGGCATTCGTGTGATGGCAACTTGTCTGTGATGATGAAAAACAATTTCGATTCAAATAAAGACATTAAAACCGGTGTTGTAACATGCTAATTACAACAATAAGTTACGAGCTAAAAGTTAGCTTGATTGATAGCACCAACACGGCCCAATTCCAAGACCATGGCACGGCTCGTTTTGTAGAATTTGTTTGCTCCATTATAAGCACGCTTCGTTTTAAAGTCTTCGAGAAACACTCACCCTGTCGGCCCACGATCTCCGCGACGTGCTCGGAACTGGGCACGGCCACGCATTCAGTCGTGTTGACACTTTTCCGGCGAGCGAGGAGCGACGCCTCGGCCTCGAAGCAGCCACCGCCCGGCTCTCCGCAGTACACGCCGGTGTCATCCCCCCCTTCGTCTCCATTGTACAGCAACACCGTCTCCACATGCTCCAAAGCTGACGGCATCGCGGAGCCAGCCTGCCCCGCAGAATGCATATATTGATGGGCCTGCGAAAGCAACGGGCTACCCGACGTGGTTGCAACTTGTGGGTCTTCGTCCTCGGGCGTGACGTTTCCTTCGTCTCCCGAAGGTGGTCGATGCTGCAGTGGCTTCAAGTCGAGGACCGTACCGAGGAGGTTAAAGCGGGACGCCGGGATGAGGTGGTGGTGGTATAAGGCTGAACTTTCATCCGATTGCTCGGATGCCGTCTGACTTTGGGGGCCAAGGTGCTCGTCGAGGCCCATGCCGGCGAAAGCGTGCACTAGCGGCGGCGGCGGGACCTCGGATTCTCCCTCGTCGGCCTCCAGCAAAGACGTGCTGCTCGGCATCGTTGAACAATTTCGTCAAGAATATGAAATCCGGGAAAGGAGGAACAAGCAAACAAAATGCGAATAACAAGCGACCAGCGCCAGGTGGCTGAAATGTGTGTACTGTGTGGCTTTTGTTTTGTCTCGACAGTTTCCCCACGAGCACGTTAATCTCGCTCAGTTTTGCTCTCGCGAGAGTTGAATTCTGGGTCAAACGACGCGTTCCTGTCACCAGCTCAACACAGAGACACTTCAGGTCACGCCGTCTTGAATGGATTAAGTACTTGTAGCGATATGCTATTTTGGTTAAACAGCGGTGCCATAAGTACTCACAGTCTGAACATAAGTACACGGACATGTAAAAATACTTAAAATGTAGTCTATTTCAGTACCAAAGTAAAAATATCTATTTGCCATTAACTTTTATAACAGCATTTATTTTGATGACTTCGAGAGAGGAAAAAAGCGTTTCTGCACACAAAATTTCCTTCTTTTATTAACCTATTAGTACTCAGAAGAAAAAATAAAAGTTTTCCCCCAATAGCATAACAAAAAAAAAACAATTAAAATGCAAGTTAGCTGGTTTAACAAATATATTATACTTTATACAAGTTATTCTTGATTATACAGTGTGCGTTTTTTTTGTGCAAAGATGGTGGTATTTAGGCTGCCACAAGACGCAGCGGATTGGCTACAAATAATTCTTGTAGCCGGCAATATCAAACACACCTAAATAAGGCCATGGATGGGGAATATCTTGCTTTTGCAAAGCCATTGCTTTTTGTCATTAATGCTCTCTGGTTCACATTCCTCATTGTTGATGCCTTCTCTGTTTTTTTTTTTTTTTTTTGCCTAAAAAGTCCCCAAGACCTTAGCCATGGTTGACTTTACGTTCCTCAAGTTAATTTTGTTGACCTCTGTGGAGGTCGGGAAGGAAAGTTACGAGCCTACTTCAACAAACTAGTAGGTGTCGGGAGTACAGATATCTGTTCTCAATTGAAGGAGGAAAAGTAAGAAGTTATCCATCCATCCATCCATCCATAATTTGAGTTGCTGTCTTGTCCAGGGAAACCAAGACAACGAAAGTGTGTGTATAATGAGATTTATTTCAGCTATAATTAATGGAGAAACAGTATTTACAAATCTGTGATGGAATGACTCCCCAAGCATCAGGGTGCGCCCCAATAATTGCTTCCCAATCCTGGTGTATGATATTTTAAAGTAGATAAGAAGATAACTAATATGTTGGTTAATAGACGTTTGTTCCTTAGGATCTTGGAGAGACACTTATTTATGTAAACTTGTACTCTTGCACACTTAATTCATTTGTTGCAGCAATGTAATATATTGGCTCCGTATGATGATAACTGACAACTGTACTAAGTCGTTGTTTTAAAATTGTTCAAAATTAGTTCATGAACCAAGAGAAATCCTTTACGGTTGTGCGTACACTTAATTGGCGGCCACAAATGATAATTTTGTGTGCCCGTTATAGTGCTGAGGCCACAATTTCGACTCCACCCCCCCTCCCCGCCCCCGCAACAAACAAATAAAGAAAAAGCAAAACACATACATTTTACGGCCATATAATAAATGTTACTCCGTTGGTCCATTGAGGTTTATCGCTTAAGATCTTACCGGCCACGTTGGAGCGTAGGCGTCAAATTATGTCATGTAATGAGGGCATCGCCCATATGTATTTCTGACCAATGCGAGAGAGGCAGAGGCGGGCTTTTAGTAAACGCAAGCCAATGGGGATGTCCGGTGTGTAATAACGTTTCAAAGAATTAGTCGCATCCGGGTGAGACACCAGAGGTGAGTGGATAACGGCGTTAGGAAAAAAAGTACTGTATTGATAAATAACTGCAAGGTTGTAATTTTGTTTGGGGTAAATTTTAAGTGCGTACAAACTGTGGCGTTGAATGTCCGCCAGTTCTCGTGCTCATGCGCTCTCTTGTTTCTTTGACGCCGAGGCCAGACAGTAGCCTGTTAGCATTGAGCTAATTCACCGCTAATGATTAGATCCGGGTTTGCTCTTTTTTTGGTCTTATTCCGCCATTCACGTCTTCTCTTTTCCTCACAGGCCCCTCGCCCATTTTCCTACTTGACTTGGGTTCTAGCCCTTTAAAAGACAATGTACAGCTCGTTGCGAGTGATGTTACAGGTGGTGTGGGCCCAGCTCCTCCTGTGCGGCTGGGCGCTGGGCACCGAGCTCACGTTCGAGCTGCCCGACAACGCCAAACAGTGCTTCTACGAGGACATCACCACTGGAACAAAGTGTACGCTGGAATTCCAGGTGAGTAGGTTCGTTTATTACGCATTTGCCTTTACAAACGGGTGGGTCTATCATGGTTTACGACACAATTACCTTCTTACGGCAGCGACGTAGCCGAAGAATTAGTACGTTCGTCTGAACACACTTCCGCGTTTGTTAAAAAAATAAATAAATAAAATAAATAAAATAAAAAAAGCTGCATCCACACCAGAATTGCATTAGTGCGTTTTTTTAAACCCATCTACAAGCACGTGCAATCGCACCTCTCAGTGTGGAATGTTCCCACAGATTGCATCCCAAATCTGCATCCTCATTGCCTTGCTGTGTTTCGACACTGACTACATTTACATGCAGTCACTGTTCTGGTTTAGGTTATAAGAACATATTTGGGATTTTGGCCGCATTTACATGGCCTTCAAAAATCAGATTTCTTAACTGCATGTAAACGTTGGGTCACATAAAATCAATCAGTGAACCGCTAAATTATAAAACTAAATAACAAATGTTGCTGCTGTGTGGGAAGAGGTGTGTAGAGCCACATTTCCCTCCCTTCCATAACAAATATTTTCCAGAACTCAAAACGCTACTTTTCTGTGCTATCACAAGAGTGGAGAGCTGGGCACGCCAAATGCAGATCCAGAGATAACCGCAAATCCCTTTGGCCGGAGTTTTCAGAAAGCTTCGTTTTTAATGAAAAAAATCTCAGAGGACGGGTGGATAACAGCGCAAACAGCAGAAAAATATCTCCTGTGCAAAGACATGTGTAGACAAGTCCTGATTAAAAACTAGCGTACATTTTACCATGTCTGCGTCCTATAATACAGTGCGTGTTATGTATGTGTTAAATACAGAAATGGCACCCGTAACTGAAACTGCGCCTCCTTAATGTGGTGCGCTGTAGGGTCGTGAATATACAGTAATGCATAATGGCAATTAAAAGCATAAAGTTACTACTTCGGTGCTTTTATGACAGTCAGCCCTACATACCTTCACCATCACAAACTGTGCCTGTAGTTGTGGTTATTGCCACTCCCTTCTTCCTATAGGTTGTGACCGGCGGCCATTATGACGTGGACTGCCGCCTGGAAGACCCGGAAGGCACGACGCTCTTCAAGGAGATCAAGAAGCAGTATGACAGCTTCACCTTCACCGCTGCCAAGGACGGTGCATACAAGTTCTGCTTCAGCAACGAGTTCTCTACGTTCACCCACAAGACGGTCTACTTCGACTTTCAGGTCGGGGACGACCCACCGCTCTTCCCCAACGAGAACAGGGCCACCGCCCTCACACACGTGAGTTCATGATAACTATCCATCCAGTTTCTATCACACTTGTCTTTGTTTGGGTGCTGGATGAGCGAGAGCCTATCGCAGCTGACTGTGGGCGACGGGCATGGCATTGCACCAATACAAAGTGATTCCTGTTTCTTTCATCTAAAAGGCCATCAAACACTCTGTTCATTCGCATTCAGATAATTTCAGTTTTGAACTTCCGCAAATGATGAGTACATCTATTTTCTACGTATTCCTCTGCTTTCTGTGTCGAGGCTTAAAATCACGTATTGTCTTGCGAGCTGTATTGTTAATCAATGAGGAGCAACTTTCTAATTTTAAGCAGCAGTTTTTTACAAGTTGATGCTCGGAACTTGAAGCAGGTTCCCATCGTATTCCGACTTTCTCCCAAATTCCTAACACATGCATGTAAGTTCCCATGAAGAATTGTGGTTTGCCAATGGGCCTTGCGATTGGATGGCACCCAATCCAAAGTGTACACCCACTTTCAAAATCAGCTGGGATAGGATCATAATTTTATCTTATTTTGCTCCACTCGAGATATTGTGTTTGAAATGATTAAATCCCATCTGAAATATCCCGTCCGCATCTTTCAGTTGGAGTCAGCCTGTGTGTCCATTCACGAGGCACTCAAGTCCATCATCGACTACCAGACGCACTTCCGCTTGCGCGAGGCGCAGGGACGCAGCCGCGCCGAGGATCTGAACATGCGTGTGGCCTTTTGGTCCATCGGCGAGGCCTTGGTCCTGCTGGTGGTCAGCATCAGCCAGGTGGTCCTGCTCCGGAGTTTCTTCTCCGATAAGAAGACCACCTGCACCCGCGTTGGATCGTAACCCCACCTGTTGTCTTTTTTTTTTTTTTTGGCTTGGCTTGTCTTCATACAGCGGCTTAGAACAGCAAAGAGATTTGAATCATTTCACACATTTGTTCAGATGCTGTTTAAAGATGCTGTATGCAAATAAGTCTTCTTCATAGAGATTTGAGTGGTGGACGTACACAAAAATGATTGTGCTTTTAAAAATCTACTACTACTGAACACAGGTGGCAAAAGTATGCCCCTTCAGTGTTTGAAATCATTCGTTTTTTTTTTTTGTGTTCCTCTTTTAATGTTGTCCTCTGTTTCTGATTTATACGTCGCTTTCAGTTAAACTACCTGGGAATTTAAGAAAAAAAGGGAGGGTTCAGGTCATGCCAGCAGCACTCGCACATATGGACGTCCGATCCTAAAATATTTTCTCTTTCTCAAAGGTTGGAAAACTAGTCATCTGTAAATCTTAATGCAAAGCAAAGTAGAAATCACAGCGTCAAATTGCTCTACAGCTTATTGTTGGAATTTAGTCGCATGTGATTCCAGTACTTTTGTGACGATTTGTGTGACTGTTACGTAGTCTGCCTTTGCTGTTCACAATTATAAACTGCTTATAAAGCTTCAGCTGAACTGTTCAGTCACAATTGTGGTCATATTTTCAGCAGAAAACGGCATATAATGATGCTACCCCAACATCCCAAGTTGGTTTATAATGCATTTTAAAACCGTTCATGTGTGCCTGTACAATGAATTTTAGAGTTAGTCTAAAAAAGTCCATTGCATTTTTGTTTGTTTGTTTGTTTTGTTTTTGTTTTTTAAATCTAGTCTAGTCAAAATCAGATGATTTGCAAACTACCGGTAATGCATTTATTTGAAACCGATGATCAAACATAGTAGTTAGTCGTCTTTATGATGCAGTCCTGCAAAGCTAACCTTTCCTTGTGATTTCATAAATTTACTGTTTCATGTCGGTTTTACAAGACTGCATGTGAACGCCGATGGGTGATTTTTTTTTTCTCTTTAAAAAAATAAAAACATTCTGTTCCGTGGGCACTCTGGGGACATGTTAAGTTATTCGAATGACTGAATAAATGCTCAGTTTAAGTGTGTTGACTGTAAATGTCGTTTCTTACATAAACTACACATTTTTCATATCAGAGGCCATTTGGTCTTATAAAGTCGTCCGAGAGCAACACCAAATATGTGACCAAAAATACCTTGAGTGTTTTAATCTCTCTATATTGTAGCTGTCTATGGCCCTCATGCTGTAATTTAACCCCATCGTTGTGTGACAGTGCGCCTTGATTTACAATACAGTCTGGCCGAATTTGTACTCAAGCCGAAACATAGTCATAATTACAGTCAATATTTGAATGAGAAAGACTCCTCGCCCATAAATACAAAACACTGAAATTAAAACTGGGTAAGTGGTTCAGATAATGGCTGGATGGTATGTTGCGAACTGTTTTCTTTCTGACGTCTTTGCCGCCTTCCTTCCCCTCAAACCTATTTATTTCCTAACAGCTTTACCTTCCTGATCTGTTTCCTTCCTTCCCTCCTTCCTGACCCCTTATCTCCCTCAGACCTGCATTTTATTCATTCATCCTTACATCCTTTGTTCCTTTTCTGTCATCCTTCATTCCCTCCTTCCTTCTGTCACATCTCTTTTCATTCATTCGCCCTTACATCCTTTTGTCCCTTAAAACTGCTTTTTCTTCATTCCTTCCTGACCTACATTGCGTTCTTCCTTCCTCTGCACTTCTAATGTGAATGAAATGTGCATGGGTGGGCGGGTGTCTCATTACTGTTTAATATTATACACCTTCCTCTCTCGGGAAAAAAAAAACGAACTGAGTGTGATGACAAGTCTGTCATTAATTCTGTCATTTTCATTTATTTATTTAAATCAGTAATACCAAATAATTCTTGGACAACAGTAAAGAAAGTGGATTCAGATGTACAGCTAGTTATCAAAGGAAATGAACCAAAAAAGTAGTTTTAATAAAAGCATCCAAAATTAAAAGTGAGTCTGAGTGAGGGATGGATGGAAGGAAGAAAACTAGGAGGGAAGAAAAGAACAAAAGCAGGCCTGAGGTGGAGTCGGGTAAAGAAGAAAAGCAGAAAGGAAGTTACAGTATTAATGGGAAAATGAGGTCAGGAAGGAAAAAAGATAATCAGGTTAAAAAGGAAAGGAAGGAGTTCTGGAAGAAAGACTGCTTAACTGTTGCTTTGTGTGGTTTTTGATTTGCATGTACTGTATGTGCTTATCTGTTTTGCAGTTTTTGGGTTGTGTGCAGCATTAATGTGTCTACAGTGCTCGGCCTTTTGCAGCAGCCACCGTATTTGAAAATTTGAATATAATTTACAACCTGTGATAAAATATGTATTGCGTAAACTTTTATAGGTCAAACGAATCATCAAAAAATGTGTAAAACCTGATGTGCTCGAAAAAAGTGAAGACATTTTTTAAATCAGCGTCAAAACATATACGTCTATTGACACTTCTGTTTCAACTATGATGTTGACCAGCGTATTTAAAGTTGGTAACCTCGAAATGTCGTGTATCGGGGCGTACCGAAGACTCAGCGTACAATACAGTATTTCTCTTGCTATGCTTTGTTTGTCCTGTAGAGGACGAAATACCCCCATTATCCACATCATTCTACAAAACACAAGAGACGGTGATTTAAGATCTGATTTAAATGGTACAAAACAAGCATAAACGGATTTAACTGTGATTTAAATTGTTTGTCTTGTTTTTGGAACACTTTATTAAATTGTTTCGGTTCGTAGTATTTGTTGGTTCTCTATTGGCTTATGTGCTGTATGATTGCCGCCCTGTGATTGGGCGTGTGGCACGCCAATCACCTGGCCGAAAGGGAGAAAAGGAGGAGCGCTGATCCCAGCTCTGCTATTCGACACAACCCGAGTCGTGATCGTTTGGTGTTGTCGTGGGTGGACATCCGCCTCCCCCAGTTTACCTCACCGTCATCAACCCCCACCTGCTCGGCGCTGAGATCATTGTCCAGTTCTCCACAGGTCACTCACGACCACTTTCGTTGTTCATTACTGATCGACCAGCTGGTTTTCGTTTCGTCGAGTAAAACGGACGCCGAAAGACGTCGAAAGTGTATCACCGAGAAGGTTAGACTAGGCGGGTGTTGTTCTTGTTGTTGTTTGTGGTGGGGGTGGATTTTCCCTTTTTCTTCCGTTCCCGGCCCCCGGGGAAATACCGTGCACGACGTCACGTGAGTAATGTATCGGAACTATGACCCGCGTGGGAAGTAGCTCGGACGGAGGCAGTGCTTCCAGGTGGCGGAGACATTTCTCGGGGTGAGAGCGAGAGACCACGAAAGGGAGCCGGAGAGAGGCTAGGCTAGGCCAAGCTAGTTGGGTTAGCTGGCTAGTTCGAGGAAGTTGGGCGAGTCGGGACACAGAGTTTAAAAATAGAGTCCGAGACGGGTGATTCTCCGACGTTTGGACTCTGAGGAGAAGTAACATTAAGCAGCTTTGTTGAGCCGAGCTGTCAACAAAAGGCTCCCCATCCGCTTGTTCTGGTTCGGAAGCTCTTCCGTACCTCAACATGGATTTAAAGACGGCGGTGTTCAACGCGGCCAGAGACGGAAAGCTCCGCTTGCTCGAAAAGCTCCTGGAGAACAAAGATGTACGCGAGGTGACCAAACTGATGGGCGAGAAGACGAACGGTGCCACGCCGCTCCTCATGGCCTCACGTTACGGCCACCTGGACCTGGTGGAGTACCTGCTCGAGTGCTGCCGGGCGCCCGTCGAGGTCGGTGGCTCGGTCAACTTCGACGGGGAGACCATCGAGGGCGCTCCGCCGCTGTGGGCCGCGTCGGCCGCCGGCCACCTGAAGGTGGTGCAATCGCTGCTCGGCCACGGAGCCTCGGTGAACAGCACAACCCTGACCAACTCGACCCCGCTGCGGGCGGCTTGCTTCGACGGCCACCTGGACATTGTCAAGTACCTGGTGGAGCACAAGGCCGACCTGGAGGTGGCCAACAGGCACGGCCACACTTGCCTCATGATATCCTGCTACAAGGGACACAAGGAGATAGCGCAGTACCTGCTGGAGAGAGGAGCCGACGTCAATAGGAAGAGTGTCAAAGGTAAGCCCGCGGCAGTTAACTGAGCATGCCTAAGGTTCCTGTGCCGTTGAGAAGCAGCTCACGAACCAAGAATCCCCTTTAATGATATACAGTTCCATTTACAGAAATGTAATGAATAGGCTTTACACTATCAGGATTTTGGAGCTGATCAGCGTGTTTAAAAAAAAAAAATCACCTATCCGATCAGATTATCTAGCCTATTTAAAAACAACTTGTTTGCAGGTGTTTGGGACTAGCCCGGCCCACCTACCGGTAGCTGAAATTTGCATAGTATTGTCAGCTATTTAAATACACTGGGGAAGGAATAATATCCATCCATCAAATAAAGGATATCTAATCTAATCTAATCTAATCTAATCTAATCTAGCAGTAGGATCCGCTTAATCTCACACGGGGTAATGGGGCGTGCTGGAGCCTATCCCAGCTGTCTTCAGGCAGTAGGTTGGGTACACCCTGAACTGGTTGCCAGCCAATCGCATGACACACACAGACAAACAAACCATCCACGCTCACACTCTCACCTAGGGACGATTTAGAGTGTTCCATTAACCTGCCACGCATGTTTTTGGAATGTGGGAGGAAACCAGAGTACCAGAAGAAAACCCACGCTTCACGGGGAGAACATACAGTCTCCACACAGGAAGGCAGGAGCTGTAATCGAACCCTACGCCTCTGCACTGTAAGGCCGACGCGCTAACCAGTCGTCCAATAATAATTAAACTCTATAAAATTCACCCAAAAATGTTGATAAACATTCAATATGCGCCCCTCCCCCCAAGGTATTTTTAAATATTAGAATTGTATTCATTTATTAATTTATAGAACTGACAGTATAATGGAAGTTGACGTGTTTGATTTGCTTTCGCGGGGCACATAAAATAATGTGGCGGGCCAGATCTGCCCCCGGGCCCTGAGTTTGACACCTGTGATCTAGAACCAAAAATATTCAACGATGTAATACAAATGGTAAGTGCCCCAGTAATTAAAGTGGGCCTCCTTGTGCTGGTTGAGGAGAAGTGCGCAAACCAAACCCCCCCTCTACTTATATGTACAGTATACGTTACTGTGATTAAAAACGTACCGGTACTTATACATCGTATGCAGTGGTAATTTGACTTGCGTGCCGAATATGTTCCGTGACTGTGCTCCTAACGCAAATGGCTTGCCTGAAACCCTAATGACACCAAGCAATACAGAAAAATTGTGAAAGTATTTATGAAAGACACTTTATCAATAAAGTGATGTGCAATCAATTAATAGACATGCCAATTTCTCATGCTGCCGTCAAACCGGGGTTTAATTGAACTCGTGCCGTTCGCGCAGATGAGTGCGAATCCATGCCAGGCGGCACGATTGATGCGTTTGATGCAATCTGTGTACCTAATGTAGATTTAATAAGAAAAAGGGGACACTGAACTGTATAAAAACCGTAATAACACAATTGGGAATCCAAATTTTTATTCCCTAAATTAGAGGCCTGTCCCAATGCACGACCGGTCGCAGGCTTTTGGCATGCAAAACGGCAATCGTTAAGATGCATTGCAGATGGGCTTGGGCTTGCCAACCGCAGTCGTTGGGCAGAATCTCACTCGTTAATATTCCATTTAGTAGTACAAATGCTTGTGGAACCACCTGAAAGCCAAATGAAGCTGTGTCATTTGTTCGAGGCAAATTTATTGAGTGCCTTTGTGAGCTATGAGAAGATGGAATTGATTGTGGGAGCTGGGCCGTGTCGTAGGCCTGCTCTTCTGTTTCTAGCTGGTTTTGCAGCCGAAACGTACTTTTTCAAACCCTAGTTTTTCTCAATCCCGACGGTGTGTTTTTGAATGAATGAGAATATTCATAGGCTTTTCTAGACCCCCTCCTGCAATCCTCCTCTTCAGTATAATGCATAGCGTCCCAGTAATGTTGATGCGCCGACTTGGAGATCCCCTTGGAATTTCGGCCCCGCATGAGCTTATTGGTGGATATTTTTATCTGAAACGTGTCAACTAATCAGGGAAGGTCTTCCCCAAGTAGCAGACAAACAAAGCTTTCCAGGAAATATGTAAAAAAAAAAAAAAAATCAAGTTGCTCTGTTTTCTTCTGTCAGTAAACAGCCTAAAGCACTCGCGGGGAGAGCAGAATCACGTGAACGTCACCCGCTTGCTGCACAATCAACACGGTGCATTCAGGGTATTTTCTCAACACTGTGCTGTTCTGCACGTTATTCATTTTTCTTCGCTCATAATATTTGAATTTGTGTGAGAAGTCAAAATCCTAATTACATTTCAAAGAATTGCCCAGCCCTAATTGTTCCTAGGTTGTGACATGCCGCTCATAACCTCAAATGTCGTACCTTGGGAATTTTGATAACAATGGACCTAATGTTCTTGTACACCCTAATTAGAAATGTACTCCGACTGGGCGTTGTGCCGTTCATGACAGCGCCCCCTTCCTGCGCCCTCTCGGCCATCAGTGTAGAAGAAAAAATAAGAAAGGCGATAACTCGGCCTGGGTGGTGGTGTTCACAACCTTGAAACGTCATCAATTGCCATGTTATAAACCACAAACCCCCTGGTCCTCTAATAATGCCTCTGAAATTTTCAACAACAACAAAAATTCCGTTACACGGTCAGAGAGGTGGTGAGGGAATGCTCGTTGAACATGATTGTAATCAAGAACTGTTAGAAATATTTACCCCTCTCATATCACTAAAAACGACGTCGGAAAAAAAAAAATACCCCTCAGCTCATATGATGATGAATGGACGGATAATGAGACAAGCTGGCCGCACATGCGGGGTGACGGTTGGCACTCTTGTGAGTTACTTTATTTAGTAGCACAGCTCTATCACCCCGCACTCCAAAATGAATGAGCATTTAATGAAAACCCCTTACAGGTCTCCATTTTCTGTTGCCCTTGTCCTCATTTAGGTGGCAGGTGATCTGGAGCTTTTCCCAGATGTTTTGTCTTTTTTTTTGGGGCGGTGTGGACCAAGCACTGGCCGCCAGCCAATTGCTGGGCACTTTCACATATTTTGTGATTGCGCAGGTAGACCAATTTGAAACAACACCACGCTAAGCGATAGCATGACTCACTCAAATAAAAAGAGGCAGTCATGGTAGAAAGTATGTCATCCTGAAGTCTAGGCGTGTCTGAAAGCACTTCATACGTCTACTCAAGTTCAGGCAAAACTGGCAATGACTGGTTTTCTTTAGCCCTACAAAAATATCGTATGCGGAAGGTATCGCTTGATGTGAAATTCGCAACCCATATGCGATTTTTATTGACAGAACACCCAAAACACTGGACAAACGACCACATGGCCAGCAGCAATTAGGTTTTAGAAATTCTAAGAATTTACAACGTTAAGAATTTATGGGAATGAGCAGGAATAAACCAGCAAATTAAAATAAATGGTTTCTTTAATCAAGATCCTAGTTATTGTTGGGGACAATATTTTTGCATAACCCTTACTAAACAAAACAAAAAAGATTTCATGCGACTAAGAGCTGTTGCATTTTTTTTTTTT